TCATCAAGAGCAGGGAGGAACAAGGGAAAACAGGAGGTTTTCCCCGTGGACCGACCCGTGACGAGATCCTATTCACGGGCCCATAACATTTGGTATCAGAGCAAGGCGTCATGGGTGACTTTGAGCAATTGACGTCTAGGGTTCATGATCTGGAGCACAAACTCATGGAAAACAGCAAGGAGGTGCTCGAGATCAAGGACGACGTCCGAGAATTAATGCGCTTGATGGAGTTGTACTTTTCCAGCAAGGAAAGGAACTCGGAAGGGGTGGCAACCACAACCGGCCGCCGACCAAACATGGCAGAATCGTCTGGCAAGCAGCAGGTCGTTGCCCAAGCACAGGTTAGCAACACCCAGAATGTTCCGATTAAGCAGGAATCCGGTGTCGTCGAGGATTCCATCCATGAGAGTTCAAAGAAGAATAAGAGCAACCACTCCAAGGTCGTCATCGCTGGTGAAGGAGCTTGTATGGCTCATGTTGTGGCTGCAAATGTTGCAAAAGTGTTTGTTAGCTGCAGTCAGATCAGATCCTAGGGCTGCACATATCTGGGTGAATCTTGCTAATGCATACTATGTGGTTGGTGATCATAGAAGTGCTGGAAAGTGCCCGGAGAAGGCAGCAAAACTGGAGCCTAATTGCATGTCAACTCGATATGTTGTTGCGCTTCATCGTATCAAGGATGCAGAAAGGTCTCAAGATCCCACTGAACAACTTTCATGGGCTGCGAATGAAATGGCTTCAATTATCAGAGAAGGGGACTCTGCAACAATTGAGCTTCGGATAGCATGGACAGGACTTGCCATGGTTCACAAGGCTCAGCATGAAATTGCAGCAACGTTTGGAACTAGACATAATGATTTGACGGAAGAGGAAGAGCGAGCTCTGTACACACTAAAGTAGGCAATAGAAGAGGATCCAGATGATGCGATTCAGTGGCACCAGCTTGGCCTTCACAATCTTCGTACTCAATAGTTCAAGACATCTCAGAAGTACCTTAAGGCTGCAGTTGGCCGCGGCAAAGAATGCAGCTACGCATGGTCAAATCTTGGTATCTCACTACAGCTGTCTGAAGATGAACCCTCTTCATTGGAACCCGATCCAGGAGGGCAAAATCATTCCACCTATCCGGGATTCCTTTGACTGTGTTTCAAGACACCCATCCTGAATTCAAGCTTGAGGACAAACTCGTAGTCCAGGAGGGGAGTAATGATGTGGGTGCCGGCAGCAGCAGTAGTAATTTAGTGCAGCAGCAACAATAATTTAGTGTTCTCAGCAGCAGCAATTTAGTGTTCTCATCCTATCTTATCTATTCAGTATTCTTACCTTATCTGCTTTTAGTAGCAGGGATTAGTAGGAGTCTTATCTATTCAGTGTTCTTATCTTATCAGTTCAGTAGGATAGATTAGTAGGGAGTCTTCCTAAAAGTAGGATTCTTATCTCTTGTAATCTCCTATTTAAGGAGCTGAGATTATTGAATAAAGGCATCGAAAATTTCAGTCAAGAAAGAGAGCAAGGAGAGTTAGGTGATCTCTTGGACAAATCACCATTAAGGCGCCAAGATAGGTTCATCAAGAGCAGGGAGGAACAAGGGAAAACATGAGCTTTTCCCCGTGGACAGACCCGTGACGAGATCCTATTCGCGGGCCCATAACAGCTACATGAATCCTGATTCACCAATTTGCTCTATTTAATTCCAACTACTACAGTATTCTGAGAATGGTACCATCAGAAATGGGCTTTGAGAGGTTATGGATTGAATAGAAAATGGCATGTATATTATCCTCACACTTTTCAATTCTTATCAATAGATCACCAAAAGGCAATTTGAGTTTAATAAGGTGATCTCTATCTCCCATACTTTTTATGTTGGGGGAGGAAATTCTATCCAGGATGATTAAAATAGAAAATAAATGAGAGCTATGTAGGGAGAGTAAGAGTGAGGAGGGAAAAGGGTTGTTTTACAACTCCAATTTTCTGATGATACTATGGGGATAATTTCAACTGGAGCAAGAAATGAGAAACCAGAAAGTGATAATGGAGGTGGTAGAGAGGATTCTAAAGATTATATCAAAGTGTATTTTGAAGATTGCAGATAAAAAAAAAGTGTAGTTTGAAGATTAACCTCTCCAAAGGAAGGAGAGATGGAAGCCTGTTTGAAATACAAGGATGTAAAGTAAAGACTTGGCAAATATAAGGATGGAAGGTTCGTTTTGGAATCTGGTGGTGGAAAGATTCTCTGAGAAATTGGCAGCTTTTGGGCAATCTGGGGGCTGGGGCCCTCGGGAATTGGAGGGGTATTTAGAGATGAGGGTGGTGTAAGTACATGTAGTTCTCCATCGCCATAATCATGATTAAGGTGTCAAAACAAAACCACGTACACACCTATAACAACATGGAGAGCCACCCGAAACTTGCGATGAACTCAGAAAATTATCACAGGCCTGCAATGAGCTCAGAAGGCTATCCTAAGCCTGCGATGAGCTCAGAGAGCTATCTCATGCTTGCGATGAACCCAGGAAGTTATCCCAAGCATGAGATGAGCTCAAAGAGCTGTCCCGAGGTTGTGATGAGCTTAAAGAACCATCTCGAGTCTGCAATGAGCTTGAAGAGATACCTTAAACCTGCAATGAGAGCATAATGTCGCCTGGGACTCGCGACGGCTATGACAGAACATCCCGAAGACGATAGGACGAACAGTCAAACACGACAGTCAAACCTGGGTCCCGCCCATGACACGTGGCCCTAAGAAACCTACAATGGGAAGTAGCGTACACGTGCTAAGAGAGAATCCTCGGACAAAAGGAAACTGTCCTCAAAAGATCTCGTTAGAGACATGGCAAAACCCTAGTAGTGTTCCCTTGATAACGGACATGAAAACGAGGATTTCCTTTCCCAATGGGAATAAACCCTCTTTGAATCTTTCTC